AATTCAGTTAGGTTCGGTTAGCTTGAGGATCCTAGAACATAGACATATCTCATTTCCATTTTCATGCCTATTGTCCTGCCAGGGCGTTGCAAATTTGTCAACGAACGAGTAGCAGAACAACTGTCAGCGAGATAAGCGTGCAGTAACTTTTATCTGTGAGATATGTGAGATACATATGCGCAGGATGAATCACTCGCACGTCTCTCCCCAAATATTTCAATACAAAATTGGTTTCGTTATCTTTACTCTTACCAAAAAACAAAAATAAATAGAATAAGGGATTTTAGTAAAGGTTTTCGACTAAAAGATACTTATTGCTCATTAGAATCTAAAGTCTAAATTTACAACTTACTTAAGTAAACTAACATTTTAGTTATTTATTTATTGGATAGTTTTAGGACTTAAATTCCATTTATAAAATTAATTTTATTTTGGGAAAATTAAAGTTTTTTAAATGCCCATTACTAAGCCAAAAATTTAGTAATTTCAGTTCAGAGAGCAGTACTATGTTAGTTTTTATTATGTAAAAAAAATCTGCATACTCAATTAAACATTTTAAACAATTCAAGTTTTTTGTAAATTTTTGACAATTTTAACGATGTAACCCCTTATAAAAATGTGAAAAAATTTGTACATTTTTTTTTGCCCTGAGATGGCTAGATCGATTCTACTATTGATGCTGATCAAGAATATATGGTCGGAAATGTCTCCTTCACATATTTACAAGCTTCTGACTCAATTATAATATGATATAAATAATAATATGTTATCTTCCTATGACAATATTTTAGACAAATCACAGTTTAAAAATCTCATAACTAAGCCAGAAAAGCATTAATTTTAATTCGGAAAACTTTCCAATGCTAGTTTTTGTTAGGGTTTTAAAACTGCATACTTAGTTTAAAATTGAAAAAATTTAATTTTTTTGTGTATTTTTGAACATTTTAAGGATGTAACCACTTACAAAATTTTGAAAAATTTGACAATTTTTTTTTGCCCTAAGTTGGCTAGATTGACTCGGCTATTGATGCTGATTAAGAATATACATGGTTTATAGAGTCGGAAATGACTCCTTCATTGTGTTGCAAGCTTCTGACTGAAATGATAATACCCTCTTCAAAATACTTTTCCCTTCACAACATTACAGGGTACTCTATCGCGCAAAAAAACAAGAAGAAATATTCCCAAAAAAACGCAATAAAAATCATTGGCAAATTGGTCGAGGGGCATGAACAAAAGTTTTCGAGGCAAAAGTGGACAAGATTGATAGTCGGTCGGGCCGAATGTCATGGTCCATTTGTATGCCACACACACACCACACCCACAGAGACTCCCCTCGGATGCGACTCAAAAAAAACCACCCCCACCCCTGGTCAGTTGTTGAACGAATTTTGCGGCGCCTATCAAAAAATTTGCGGCCCATTGTCAATGCGGATTGATGCAATTTTAAACCCGCAACCAACAAGGACATCTGCTCAAATATTAGCTTATGAAATTGTTTAAAATGCCAGTCACTAACCCATTCACTCTGGTCACGCTCCGGTGGCAAAAAAAAAAAAAAAATCAAAAAATCTGGATGGAGGGCAGGAAACCTCCGGCATAGCCATTTGACAGTTGCCACAATTTATCATAATTCAAAGCATGGCATGTCCTGTCAATCACTGGAATCGAACATGTCCATGGACATGGCGAAAGGGTGAAGTCTGCCCACATTTGCCTCGGGCAGGGATGAGGGAGGATGCAGTGGGTGGTTGTGGACACTTTTACAAGTGACTTATGAATTATTCTTTGTAGTTGGTGTAGTCCATCTGCGAATCTTACAGTGAGACAAAAAATGTGATTGTTATGTTGTGTTTATAAGTATCCATGAAAACCATGTACGAATCCCTTCATTATCTTTTATCTATGATTCATTATTAACCTTAATATTTATTACAAAATATATATATATATATGAAATAAATATTTCCCCTGTGCATTTTCCATCACCGCCTTAACTTCCTCTTTATGGTTGGCTTTTTGTGTGTTTTCAAATCAGATTAAACTGAAGGCGAAGTAAAGGGTTTTAGAAACATAAGGGGGTTAGTCCAGAGGTGGCTACATAAAAGGGTCAAAATAATGGGGACTTTGTACAAAGATGCTCAAGTTTATCAAACGGAATATGCGATGCGAACGAACCATTAGACACTGTCCACTGATGGACAGGCGGGACGTGATCCCAGATACGGCTCATCAAGTGCATTGTCATGGGACAATAAAGGGTTAATCGGCTAACAGCAGGGGGGATTACTTAAAGTGGACTTTCCAGGGAGAGAAAGCAAAAATTAGCCATCAATAGATCCCAAGTACAAAGTGCATCAATTGATTTTCGGTATCATAAGATCTGCTCTATCGGGAAATCCCTAGAGACAAATTGGTATCCGATAGCTTTAAGTATTTATTGATTTTAGTTTGGTTTGTCTAAATATCTTTGTTCTAAACGAGTTAAATTTTTGTTAAAAGAACTATTTTCACATCTGTATATTTTTAAAGTATAGATTTTAAATCAAATCAAAAAAGGAATCCATCAGTTTCTCTTTGTATTTATTTTATTTTATTTTCTATTATTTATTGTTATTTAATTTATTTTAATTCGCAAATTTGCAAAATTGCCAAGAAAAAAAGGTAAACAAAGGCAGTTTCCCAACTGTCAAAATCCTACAATTGACAACTAAAAGAGTTGATCGCACTCTTTACTTTAATTGCTCCCCCGCTCTTAAATAACTCTTTAAGTCCCTCTCTGACGCTCTAAGGTAATGCGCTCAAGAGCGAGAACAAATAAAGCCAGTAACGGCACTTCAAGGACAAGAAAAGAAAAAATTCGGCGCCCAAAAGCAGAGCGGAGAAGATAAATAAGAAGAAAATTGTTTTGTTTCACTCACCCTTTTGCAATAGCTGTTGCTGCACATCGCAACGGCGAATTAGCAGACGAAAGCACACACATAAAAAGAGGAAATCCTTCTCATTTTATAAAGTTTATGACACACTTTTACACATTTAATACATTTACTTTACCAGAAAAACAAACAAAATTATCTAGCCAAGCAAATAAAAGCAAAGACACACACACTGATCTTGGCTTTGTAAACACACAAAAAGAAAAAACAAAAAAACGGCACGGCTTATGTTTTCGGGGCTCTTCTCCTTTGCTTTGCACCTCTAATACTTTTCACTTCACTTGCACTTTATTTGCACTTCACTTGCACTTTTAACACCTGCTTCTGTTTTTCCGCCTTAAGTTTTCCGTTTCTCACTTGTTTTTACCGATCTCCGTGCATAGGAGATGTTTTCAATTGTTTTTTCTAATTTATTCATCCGTTTTGTCCGGCGGCGTAGGAGTAACTGATTGACAGCGGCCACCGGGAGAGGTCGCTCTGTGATCATGGTAGGCAGCGATTTTTAGGTGAGTTTTAGGCTTGTGGTAAAGAGAGGGGGAAATGGCAAAAACAGCGAAAAAAGAATTATTTTCTTTCAATTTCACGACCTTTTCAATGGCACCAATTTAGTAGTTTTACGATTTTAATATAATTACACTCCAAATGGTACAATAATAAAATTCGTATGTATATATCTTAAGGTAAATGAATATAAGATAAAAAGCCGGAAAAAAAGTTATATTATTTTTCTACAAATTTCCTAAACTTTCCTATGACATTTATATGATATTTTACTCTGATTTTCATAAAATTAAAACCGAAATTCTAGAATAATAAACAATTGCTATATCTTTATTTCGATGAAAATATGTTGTAAACTAAAAAAGTAATAATTTTTTTTTCTACAAATTCTCAGATTTTTCCTATGGCAGCTTTATTATTAAGTAGTCCGATTTTCATGAACTTACTAAAGAAATTGTAAAATATTCCAAGTATACTATACATATCTCAAATGAGATGCAAATATATTGAAAACTGGAAAAGTTATAATTAATAATTGTATTATTTATAGATCGTTCCTATGGCAGCTATATGACTTATTGGTCAGATTTTCATAAAATTTAAACCAAAATTCTGGAATAATATAAAAAAGCTTTATTTTAAATTTGATCAAAATATGTTGAAAATTAAAAAAGTTATAATTTGTTTTCTACAAATTTTCCGATTTTTCCTATGGCAGCTATATGATTAAGTAGTCCGATTATCATAATATTTGAACCGAAATTCTAGAATAAGATAAAATGGCTTTTACTTAAATTTGATGGAAATATGTTGAAAACTAAAAAGTTATATTTTTTTTTTCTAAAAAATGTCCTATGGCAACAATATGATATAGTCGTTCGATCTTACCTGTTCCGACTTATGTATATACTTATCGCCTGTTGATGCTGATCAAGAATATATATAGATATATGATTTATTGGGTGGAAAATGACTCAGTAAATAACTTACTAAAATTATAAACCCTTTAAACTTATAATGAAATATGATAGAGAACATTTGATTAGATTCTAACAAATATCAAAAGATCTCCACAATGTTTATTTGCTAAAAGTGTCATTTTCAAATCCATTGATAACTTTACTATTTGATAAGATAACCCTTGAACAGTCAATTAGATAATATTTGGTCAAAAATTCAAACACATTATATTATTTATTAAATTTTCATTAAACTAATTATACTCTAAGAGTGCATCAAATGAATTTAAAATATACATACATGTTCTTGGGAAAATGAGTTTATATTTCAATCCAATCTGAAAAAATGAAACCACCACCAGTAATAGAAACCCAATATTTTATTGTTTACATGTATTCTTTATTTATTTAAGATTTAGCTCATCTAATTGACAGAAAAATATAAAGTTATTTGGATGTATTGTATGGGTTGTGCTTGAGTGTATCTCCCCAATGCATATATGATGCCTCCGTGGGCGCCCACTTAAAACTAGGCGTAATCTCGGCTATTGCATAATGCTGAGTCCCACTCCCGAGGTCTGTGGAAAATCACAAATTTAAGAACTTAATATACTAAAGAACAGACGTGGAATTTTAATGTGCTTTCTATAATTTTTTTTGTGTTGGGATCGCAATCGAACGGATAATTTATTGGCCAGTCAAAGAGTGCGAAACCGCGATTGTTTTTCTTCAAAGTTTATGATGATTTATAATGACGGACCCTCGGGGAAGGCTCTCTCGGATAACAGATAACAGAACACTATTTTGATGTCGACTGGCGTGACTGGGGCTGCTCCCTTTGGACTCCTCCTGATCCATCTTACATGTTCTTGTCGAACAGGAACTCGCCGAGCTCGCCGTGCGAGGTGAGCATCTTCTTGAGGGTGGTAAGCTTGCCGGCCAGCTCGCGCTGTCCATGGAGCTGCTCCTCCAGATAGACGCCGGTAAGGTAGTCCACCAGATGGTAATGGTTATAGTTCTTGCCCTCGCAGGTCTGGATCAGCTTGCGGATGGACCTGGTGACCTTGATCTCCAGATCGAGAGCATCCTGCAGAGCGCTGGCACCATCGGTCCACTCCTGCTTGGCCACGGTCTTTATAAGGGGGTGGGAATTACCGAAATTAGCTTGCTGTTATTTAGTTTATCAAGAGGTCAATGAACTTACCGGCACAGTAATCAGATCGCTCACACCCTCGGTCAGCTGGCCACGCATGGACAGGTACTCAACCAGCTTGGAGCCATGTTCGCGCTCCTCCTTGGCGGCCTTGAAGAAGTGCTCGGCGAATCCAGGGCGGTTCACAGTGTCGCGGGAGAAGTAGGCGCCCATGGCCAAGTACTGGTAGGAGGCATTGATCTCCTCCTGGATCTGATGACGCATGCCCTTGATGCAAGCATCCTTCATGTCAACCCAATCCTTGGTAATCTCGGGCACCTCCAGGGAGCCTGTAAAAGATAAAGGGTTGTTTAGTCAAAGGTGGAAATAATAAAATAGTTGAATTTTGTCAACCAAAAACTTTAAATTTTATTTTAAAATTTAAAATATTTTTAATATTAGTTTTAAGTTGCAAAAAAATTCAACTTTAACTAGTTCCGTTTCTTTTTTTTTAAACCTTTGCATCCCTGATCTTGACCTTCACCACGGTTTGAGTTCGCTTTTTGCCCTTGCTTTGCGGCCTCAATCTCTAGCTCTCTCACCACACTTTTGCTTTTCTGCTCGGCTATGGGGGAGAGGGGAGGGGTTGATTAAGAAAGGGAGGTATTGCATAAACCTTTGAAATCGCGCTTGAAAAAAATCCGCTATTCTAGAACAAGTAGAACGTGTGCAAACTGCAGTTACTCACTCTCCTGCTCTCTGTCTCACTGCAGTTTTGGTACCGTGCGCAGCTCTCTCGCCGCCATAGTAACGGCATTTGTTTGGGTTTTGTGCCGTGTGCAAAAGCAGTCACTCTCTTTCTCCCACAGTTCAAGCCGTGTGCAAAGGCTTGAAACGGACTTGGAAATGTGACAAAAACAATGGACGATTGCTTATCGAAATGAAAGCAAAATTCGCGTAATATTTGATTTATGGAAACTGATTATAAAAACTGGTTTTCATTTCCCCAAACGCGTAACGGAAGCAAATGAGTTTATTTTAATAATAACTTGTGAAATTTCAGGTTTGAACCGAACAGCAAAGAGAACTTAAGAGCGGCGCATGCTCTCTTCAGCAACTGTCTCTCTCACTTTACAACTGCGTTTCTAGCTCTTTTCATATTGCGTCGAAATATATTTTGTTTTTTTCCGCTGACCTGCCTTTGTTTTTGTTTGGAACTTGTAAATTCGGTTAAAAATAGTACTTACACTTGAAATCTCCATAGGCCTGGGCCACCACGGCCAGCAGGAACAGGGTAGCGATTAATTTCACCATCTTTGTTCGTCGAAAGTTGGAAAGTCTTTACACAAAATCACAGAACAAATTGTTCACTTGAGTTGTTTTGCTTGGAGTGCACGAACGAATGAGAATGAGGCGACTCGTTGTGGGAGACAATGTTAAATAGGCCTCTCTTTATCGAATTTAGCTGCCTTTACACACACTGGCGCAGAAGGCGACGCCTGCTTCAATTTGATGGGCTTTGATTGGGATTATGCTGAATGCTGATTCCAAATGACTTCCAGTACCTTCTTGACAGCGTAATCTTTTTGGATCGAAGCGAATTGCTAGAGTGCTTTGTTCGTTATATGGAACTTGAATGCGATGTGTGGCGGCGCACAAAACACTTTTAAGCGCTGGCTCTCGCTCTCGTTTGCCCGTTCGCCTGTGTATGTGTGTGATGAGTGTGGCGTGAGTGAGTGGGAGAGTGTGCAGTGTTATCTTTTCAACATGTCGTCGATTCTTTGTGTGGTTAAATGACTGATAATTGAATATTCCCTATGATAGACGCCTTAATTTAATACACACGTCCTCAATGTGGAGCTATTTTACTGGGGAAAGTCGGATTTCCTAGTCAGATAATTCCCGCAAATGCAATATGGCCGCTCTTCTCGCACTGCGTCAGCTGTTCTTTGTTTTTGTTTTGGTTGTATGCGGGAGAGCTAAGAGCTGAGAGCAACACGTCATGGGTTGCCAGGTGGTTTAATTTAACTTTGATTTCTACTTGACAATTTAATACTTCTTTCTGGCGATTTGATTTGTCACGTTCGTCGGGGGATCAATCAGTTATGTTTGATAACTACTAAATATGGCGACGGTGCTTTCTGGGTGTCACTAAGAATGACACTTGATAAGGGGGATAAACGTTGGAAAAAACTATTCAATTACATAAGATTTCTGTGATTTGGTGAAATTGTACTATAGAAATTTTATTATAAATCATTAAATTTATTGTTTATTTACTTACATTTGAAATTAAATAGTAAAATCTACAAATTTTTTACCTCCGAACATCAAATCTGAAAAATTTCTTTGCCTAAACACTTACACATTTGTAGCATATTGTGCACATCCCAATAATCCATCACCTCAAATAAATTAGTATTGTTTTACGTGCCAGTAAAAAAGTTATAAATTAAAATTAATTACAAACAAGATCGCAATATTTCTACTGATAATTATCTTAGGAAAACACTTGAAACACACATGCAAAACAAAGTGCATTTCAGAGTTCAGTCGCCATTTTTTGCACACGTTGGCAACTCTGTTGTGAGTCACACTCCCGCTGGAGGCTACAAAAACAACACCACAGCGGCCATATTGCCAGAGCCATGACAACAAAATCCCCACACTGAGCTGAGCGCAAAATACCCATGCACTCTCTCAGTCACACGCACACTCACACAAGCCGTATCGATCGCATAGAAAGAGACGAGCGCGGCGTTATAAACAGCACTTCAATTTTTGAATTCCACCAAGCAGCACACACAAAAGCGGCAGAAAGCGAAACCAAAGCTCGTTGCAGCAATTAAAGTGAGTTTAGTCAGTTTCTAACTAGTTAGTAGTGCGAAGCAAAGGAAAGACGTAAGAAGTTCCTGGGAAATACAATAAGAAACGGAAAAAACATTGAAAAACAAAAACATTGCGATGTGGTGGTGGTGGTTTTGTTGACAAGAAAAAAACATAGAGAGAGGCACAGAAAATTCAAGAAAACCTTGCGACGCAAAAGGAAATTTCCACACGAAATAAAAACAGAAGTGACTGTTTCTTTTGTTGTCAAATACTGTATAATATTGTGAAACTAATTTCCATTTCGTTTTGTGTTTGCACTTTTACAGTAAAATCAATCAAAATGAAATTGTTCATCGCACTCGCTCTTGTTGCGAGCCTCGGCTCTCTTGCCATGGCAAACGAAGAGTTCTGCCAGAATAACGTTGTTACCGCCTGCTCTTCGTCGACCTTCTCTGGTGAGTACAAAGTGCGCTCGCGATGAAAGAGAGCATGTGTGAAGAGAATTTAAATTGTGTTTATGCGTTGTTGTTTTTGTATCTTTGTTCAATAATAATAAAACAAGCGCTCACGGGCTTTTTCACAGGCAAAAGTAAGTGAAAAATGTGCAGTTAAATGTTTTTAGAATTCAATAACTAGTTATTCCCGAATTTGATTTGTTTTTGTTTATATGCACATTTACAAAATGTATTCGTTTGTTTTTAAAATATTTTTTTCAAGAAGATTTGGAGATACAAAATAAGATTAAATATCTTATTGACTTTAATCATTACGAGAATATACCCTTGCAAGTTTTATTTGATTGCGTTACAACATTGTTGCTGTTTAAATAGGAAAACGACCACAACACGCTTACACAAAAACAGCCTTCTAATGTGGTTTTCCCCCGTTTGTAGATTAGTAGATTGTAATTTTGATTATTTTTATATTTTTTACCCTATAGCCAACTCCATTTGTAATGCCCGTTTTGCCGGCATTGACCATGTGGAGCCCGAGATTCAGGCCTACATCAACTCCCAGTTGACCAAGTCCTACGACTATCTGCTCCTGGCCACTTACTTCAACTCGTACCAGAAGAACCGCCCCGGCTTCCAGAAGCTGTACCAGGGATTGTCTGATCGCTCCTTCGATGACAGCATTGCCTTGATCAAGCAGATCACCAAGCGCGGTGGAATCGTGGACTTCAACACTCGCCACGAGAGTCCGGCTTCCGTGCTCACCAAGCGACCCACTCTGGAGGTCGATGAACTGCACTCCCTGGCTTTGGCTCTGGACAATGAGAAGCAGCTGGCCGCTGGAGCCACCCACGTTCACACCCGCGCCACCCACCAGGCCCGTGGCGAACACGATCCAGAGCTGGCCCACTACATGGAGGAGAACTTCCTGGCCAAGCAGGCTGATAGCGTGCGCACACTTTCTGGATATGCCAACGACCTGGCCAAGTTGATGAAGGTGTCGGACCCATCCCTCTCCGTCTACCTGTTCGACGAGTACCTGCAGAAGCAGTAAAGCAGTCGAGGCACTCTCTCTCCTCCTTCATATAAAATATTCCCTTTCCTTCCTTTCCTAACAAAATTTGCTCTCATCATCCCCGCGGATCGTTTATAAATTAATTGTTTCCTTGGTTTGTTCACCAATAAATCGCAGTGCAGCAGCAGCATTATCAAAGCAGCCAATTGAATGATTTACCACATACACCCCTCCGGAGCTCACCTTGATTTACCAGCAGCACACCAGAGATTGTGATAATGTTATCATAAATAAGTTAGCAAGTTCGCCCCAGCAAATGTATCTTTAGCCATGTATGTTACCGCGTGAACAAATAAACAGACACAACAAAAGTGACTAACTATCAACTAGGAAAACATAAGATTGTTTGTGCCTCTTTGATAAGGTTGGGTTTGGTTTTTCATCATTGTGGGGCGTCTGTTTGCGTTTTTTCTTCTTTGAATGCTGATAGCAACCAAGCTGGCAGTGTACTTTGGATACGAATGCCATATGGAACAATGCCGCTTATAATCGCTTATAATTTCTTTAAAAACTACCCAGTTTCGTGATCACAATATATATGGTTTATTTTTAATTGTTCCAGAGGGTTCATTCAGTTGGTGTTAGGGATTTGGTTTAGTTGTTCTTAGGAGGGTTGTTTTTAAACACATTTTGGAGAAACTGAAACTATTGTAAGAGGTTGATAAGAAAAGTAGTTTCCTCTAACAAATTAGGGTTTAACAGCCAAACTGAATACTTTGTAAATTATTGCTGTCAACACACAGTCTTAAATAGATACATTTACGTAAATACTCTATCAGGGTATTATCATTTTAGTTCGAAGCTTCTTAAGCTATGTAGGAGTCATTTCTTGATCAGCATCAACAGGGGTTTCTATCTAGCCATCTCCGGAAGAAAAAATTTAATTTTTTCCAAATTTTATAAGGGGTTACATCGTTAAAATTGTCAAAAATGTTCACAAAAAAGCAATTTTTTTAATATTAAATTGAGAATGCAGATTTATTAACGTATTAAAAACTAGCATAGGACAGCTCCGAATTAAAATGAATGCTTGTTTGGTTGAGTTATGAGATTTTTAAAACTTTGATTTGTCGAAAAATGTCATATTAAAATATTGATAAAAATCAATTTAAAAAATAAATAAAAAAATTAATAGATTTCGAAAGTCCAAAAATAATACTATAATTAATATATAAAACGTAAAGATTTTGAATGATTTATTTTGGGAGCAAGTTAAGATCTGAGATATATTCTCTTAATCAGAGGTTTCAGAATAGTTTCAAAAAGATTTTTAATGGTTTTCCATATTTTACATATATCCTTTTCTTGATAGATTACATTACATTCTTTCCCTTTGACAAGTCTAATCGATCGAGGAGAATATGAAATCATTGAGACCACAATGTAATCTCTGAAGGGGATCTTTGAAGCTTAAAGGAACCCGACAATCTTATCATAGACACACTCCTCTGGCAGATAAGTTAGGGCCATAATTCGGTTGCTACTCTAAAAGAGATTCTACGTCACAAATGGTATCATTGGCTTATCACTGTCTGCTGCACACGACTTTTTCTGCTCCGTCCGGAGCATTTCCGGTTGAGTGGGGTCTGGCCGCCATCTTGAAAGGCAGCTGACTAAGATGGCAACATCCGATGACGTGGACTTTCAAGTCGCAGTCGCAGTGTCACATTGTTACGTAACTCTCAGATGTTTTTATTGTCCCCTGAATTTAAATCGCATTTTCCTTATCAGTTTTTTTTGTATACATATGTATAAAAGGGGAAGTCTTGATTATTTATTTTGTTTAGAAATAAATAAATAAATAAATATTTGTTTTGTCAAGAAATAAACAATTTATGGAGTCACTTCGTATTAAAAAAATGTTTTTACAAATTTATTAAAAAAAAAGGAATTTTCATATACTCCAAAAGATACTACGTCTCATTTAATCGAACAATCTAATTAATTGCCTTATTAATTAATTATATTGTTAAACCAAAGTCTAAACTTGTTGTTTTTTATTTATTTTCATCGGAATTGTCGCTCACTATTGTATAAGTTGCTACACTACAGTAACGTATAATAATAAATTCAGCTTAAAAAAAAAAAATATATCGTTAAAAATCCGATTTTTAAGTTTAATAGATAATATCGTTCCTTTTTCCCTGACATACTAATAGTGTGCAAATAATTATAAACTAACTGGCTTATAAAGTACTTTTATTGATATTGTCGAAATTGAAATTGTCGAAATATATTTTTAGAAAGCGGTAATTCAAAATCTAATGAAACTAGGTATTTCTTTAAAGTGTTTAGTTATTATAATACAATGTAAAACTAATGTTTTCATTGACTTTGCTTCACTTTCTAAAGAAATATGTATACGTCTGAGTGTATACTTCAATTTATTATAAGTGGTTCCACCTACTCTATGGATCCAAGCCACGCATCTGGGCAATTTATCAATTAGCGACGCCCATTCAATGAGGTTTCTGCACATTTAGCCAAACATCCGGGATACGGTCAACTAGCACGTGAAATGAACGTCAATTTGCCATTTTAATGCCCGCCTATAACTATTCAAAGGCATGGGGTCAGGGGTCATCAAATCGCAGAATCCGTATCTGCAGCGAAAGGCGAATCCGTGTAATAACTGCGTGCTCTTATGTAATTAGAATATGATGATGGCCATAAGGGAAAAACTCCTCAACGGGATCATAACAGTTAGGACGGAATGAGATTGAAGTTGATATGATATGGGTGGTGGGGTCTTTCGGTCTTTCAAGCGGTCCAGTGTCTCCGAGTGCGTGCTGTGGTCATTAAATAATAATCCACTTAATATTAATTGCCCTGATTTGCGGATGAAAGCTGCCGCAATGATTCTCTTTATGCTGTGAACACTAAGAGAAAAACCAGAGAGAAAAATAATTTCCGGAAGTCGAAATTTGCAGTTTGCAATCGAATAATAGAATCGAATCGAAAATAGATCATAGCTGAGCTTAAATCGATATTTATCGAAGCTCAAGACAGGAAACTAACTTCAGGAAATCATTATTTATATACTTTTGAAGTTTGCAATCGATTTATCAATCAATATACATCGATATCTATATGAACATTTTTTGATAAATCAAAGTTTAAAAAACTCATAACTCCGTTAAAAAACATTAATTTTGATTCGGAAAGCTGTTCTGTGCTAGTTTTTAGTACGTTAATAAAACTACATACTCTATTTAAAATTAAAGAAATTTAAATTTTTTGTTGAAAATTTTTGACCATTTTAAAATGTAAAATGTTTGAAAAATTGAAAATTTTTTGTACCTCCCTAAGATGGCTAGATCGATTTGCCTGTTGATGCTGATCAAGAAAATATATGATTTATAGGGTCGGAAGTGGCTCCTTCACATTGTAACAAGCTTTTGACTAAAATTATAATACCCTGCAAAAGTACATATAAATATCTAATGTTTTTCTCTGTGTACTTTGTACACTTCATTGGCAAAGGGTGTCTAATTGCGGTCATTTGTGGTGCATTTGGCGTGGATCTTAACTTCCGTCGTTTGTAATTGTTTGCCCCATAAGCCATGGCACAAATTATGAGGATTTTGGCCGAAAACTGGTTACTCCTCCCCAAATAAAACCATTCCACACATGCCATAAATGGCGGCCATAAAAAGGTGTCGTCTTCGGCCCAAAAATTCTATTAATTTATGCATTTTAATAAAAGCATTCAAGGCAATTACAAAAGGGTTGAGGTTAAAAACTATTTGTGGAGGCCAGATGTTGTCAAAAGGATTCGGGGATATTTTCGGTTATTGTTCGTCGCTCAACCAGACAACTATGAATATGAAACCCCACTGAAAGTGTGTGTGTGCGTGTCCAGGACATGCGGGACACACATAATATGTATGCAAAATAGCAATTTAATTTCGTTTTATTGCATTGCCATTTGCAGCCAGTGAAAGGCAGCTGCGCCGACAGCTTCCGCCAGTTTCCCCATAATAAATAATCCTTTACCTCTAGCCCCAACTCCTACCTAGAAATCCCTGAATATATATGTATGTATACACCCATCCTGGCTGTGCAATTTTAATGAAAAGTCTTCTTGTCTCCTGTCCTTTGTTTTTCCTGTCCCTGCTTTTCGCTTGGCAAAGGCAGACAGCGCCAAGAATACTGCATCAAGCGGAATTATTCGCTATTTTTCATTAACAAATTGTTCACGGGTTGAGTGCACTGAGTCCTTCATCAAACAGTCTGAATATTTAAAGGGGACTTTAATGAGTAACCTTGGAGAATAATGAAATATGTGTTAAAAAGAACATGACTTTCTCTAATAAATTTCTTAATTAATTATCGATTTTCTGAGGCTTGTTTAAAGTAATTATAAGCTGTTGGCTGTATTCTATAATTTAGTCTGTAATCTAATCAACTTTTTATATAGTTGTTGTGGCATCAAGATAATTGTGCACACGACTTGTGAGTAATTATAAAAAATATATAATAATTTTCTGGTGAGCGTAAACAAACAATATAAATTGGTAGTTCTACTTCAAAATATAAGAAATAGGTTTTGATTTTGTTTGACGATTTGTCGATAAGTTATTGTTTACAATGAATAATAAATACTTTTCAGTGAAGAGACTTAAATAATACTATCATTCCCTTATAATAAATACAAATAAAATTCGACTAAACCCTCACCTGTTTAGCAGATTGTGTGTTATTGAGCAATTTGCATATGAAGTTGAGTTATATTCCTGTGAAATCGATAGCTCTCGGAGCAATTTATACAATCTCCTTGACAAGAAAAGGGAGAATTTTCCTAGGGGAATGCTCGATTAGCCAGGCAATCGAGTGGTGAGGTAAGAGGTTTACAAGCAAACAAAATATGGCAAAAAGCGACAGGGGATTGACTAATGGATTTCCATGTGGAAATTCGCGATAAGCAAAACAGTGATAAGCGAGCGAGTTCCGCCCCCTTTTCATGTTGTTGTTCTTGTTATTTTCCCCCTGTTGCTAAATAATGCAATTTTGCACAATTTCGCTGAGGTTTCCATTCAGGGGGATGGATGATTGTCCAGGACACGAGCAACCTGATCCCCGATCTACAACCACCCCATGGACCGATTCTTGTTGATTTTTCAGCTGCTCAATTTGCATGAATTCACTTTTCAAGGTCAGTGGGTAAAAACAAGTTGCAAAAAAATAAAATAAAAAAAAAACCAAAAGTTTGCAAATCGCACCCCAGCGTGAATCGAAGGGCAAGCCAACCCTGATATTTAGTCGCCAAAAAAGGGGTTGCTATTGTAATTGTTGTTTTAATACCCTGGCATAAAGTACTTTGCATATTTTTAAA